CAAGGACGGGAGCAGCAGCAAAGGGTGTGTAGCTGAGAGGACTTATGTATGTTTGCTGTTCCTTTAGCTCTTGGCATATTCTGATAAGCTTATGTGTCCTTTGGCTGCCGTAAGGAACCTGCTGCATTAGTTGTCCTACTTCTAGAATTTTTCTTTTATGTTTTTTCCCCCCTTTATTCGCAAACTTTGTCATTCCTGGAAGGAGGTGTTTGCTTACATTTTTTCTGTGCTGTAGGATGGCCTATGTTGAATTTAAAACAGAAGCTGAGGCAAACAAAGCTCTGGAGGAGAAGAAGGGCACAGAAATTGAGGGTCGTGCTGTGGTCATTGACTTCACTGGCGAGAAGAGCCAGCAAGAACATCAGAAAGGTACTTTCCAGACTGATAACATACATTCAGATGACATTCAGGATTAATTTTCACTTGTTTCAGAAGTTCCTTGGGGGCAGGGCAAATTAAAATACTGCAATAATATTAAGATACCAGACCTTTTGCCTGACTTGTACTCTGCATCCTATGTATTTTATATCTCTACTGCATGTGTCAGACTTGCAACTTGCATGTTTCATGGGGGGCAGCTGGTCTCGGTGAATAAAACAGGGTTGGATTTGTCTTTGTGCCTCACCTTGAGGTGAGGAAAGGGGAACAAGTTCTTATTCCTTGGCAGAGTCTGGTAACTAGAGGAAGAGAAGAGCTCTCCTTCTCCAAACTTGCACTTAACAGCACTGACTTTTCCCCACAGGAGAGTCAAAGACCCTAATTGTCAACAACCTCTCATATGCTGCTACAGAAGAGACTCTCCAAGAAGTGTTTAAGAAAGCTTCTTCCGTCAAGGTGCCACAGAACAACCAGGGCAGACCTAAAGGGTATGGTGTGCCTTTCTTTTGACCCCTAGACTGACACTGCAAATGACTTGCCTCCAGATATCCTTGTTGCTCCCAGGCTGACTGGAATCTTCCTCTCCACATAGGTATGCATTTGTAGATTTTGCTACAGCTGAGGATGCCAGAGAGGCATTGAATTCCTATAACAACACAGAGATCGAAGGCAGAACAATCAGACTGGAATTCAGTTCACCATCATGGCAGAAAGGGAACACAAACGCACGAGGAGGATTCAATCGTAAGTGTTTCATGTTTGATCTCCAGCTGTTGCAGGAGGGCACCATCCAAGCAAATCTGGGGCTGCTTTTAAAAAAAACAAATATGCCAAACATTGTAAGCAAGTGTGCTGGATATGATGACTGATTATCTGAAATGCTGATGAAACTGTTGTCAAATTCCTCTAGATAGTCAAGTGCTGATCCAGCAGTGTCTGTACAGTTAGTTATTATCACTGTTGATAAGGTGCAAGCATCTATTTTAAAAAAGGGAGTGGGGCAAACTTAATTTGGGAGTATCAGGTTGGCTGAAATGGATGGAAAAGGATGGAAATCCTTTGATGTCAGGTTCTAACTGCAGTCCTGAAAAGTTTTCATGGACTTGAGGTGCTTGAGCTGTTCCTTGGAAATAACCCCTTTATCCCTGAGAGCTGTTCTGGGAGCCAGTAATGGCCAGCAAGCTGGATTTGATGTTCTGAAGCTGAAGGTTGCCTTGCTCAGGCTGAATAATTTCTGAATGTGTTCCTTTTCCACAGAGCAAAGCAAAACACTGTTTGTCAGAGGCCTTTCTGAGGACACCACAGAGGAGACGTTAAGAGAATCGTTTGAAGGCTCAATAAGTGCGAGAATAGTCACAGACAGAGACACTGGATCATCTAAAGGGTGGGTGAAACCTCACCTGGGCTATGTTCAGGTGCTACAAAGCACCTCACTTTAGCTGATCTCTGCAATGCAGGGTGTTTTTCCTGTTCATGTGGGTGGTTCTATGAAACTGGCAGGTAGTGTGGGAATAGAGAACACTCAGCTTTGGGTCCACTGATGGAGGGCAGCACATGATCACTTCTCACCTCTTCTCAATGAGCTCCTTCCTGCCAACAAATCTCAGTGGCAGCTGATGGATTCGCACGAGAAGAAAATTAACTGTGCAGTACTGGCAAACTCACAGTGGGGCTCCATCGACTGTGATTAGCCACTGCTGTCCTACAAGTGACACATCCTGTGGGGTGCACAAGTGCTGGTATTTGATTTCGAAAGGATTTCTGTCAGGAACCTCTAGGTGGTGCTGCAGCTCATGGAATGTGACCAATTGTCACTCTTGTAAACTGTTTCCTAGGTTTGGGTTTGTGGACTTCAGCTCTGCAGAAGATGCCAAAGCAGCTAAAGAAGCCATGGAAGATGGAGAGATAGATGGAAACAAAGTGATCCTCGATTTTGCCAAGCCAAAGGGTGACTTTCAACGTGGCGGTGGATTTGGTGGTCGTGGTGGTGGCAGAGGAGGTGGCCGAGGAGGAAGAGGTGGATTTGGTGGCAGAGGTGGTGGCAGAGGTGGATTTGGAGGTAAGAGGAAGCAAATGCTGCTGTTTGGATGGGGTGTACTCAGAAATGAAGTGGGGCTAACACAGAGCATTGGATGTGAATTTGTTTTCTGTGCCAGGATGGGTTTGGAAGGGCAGTACAATATCTTTGTGTACTTATATAAAATGTGCATATATGTTTATAATACTATATATATAATAAATACTATAGTGGTAACTCTTTTTTTCTATAATTTTCTTTCTAGGTAGAGGAGGAGGTGGCTTCCGAGGAGGCAGAGGAGGAGGTGGAGATCACAAGCCACAAGGGAAGAAGATCAAGTTTGAATAAACTTCCCCTTTCCTTTCCCTTCTCCTGCTCTCCAAGACTATCTGAAAGGACTCCGGGGGTTTTTATTCTCCTTTGATCTTGGCGGAGCCTTCGGAGGACATTCCAAGAAGCGAAGCAGTACTGTGAGCCACTTGGAAGATAAATTTTCATTTCAAGGAAGAGAGAGCAAGCCATTTTGACTGCTTGCCTGTTCAAATGAACTTTTTAAAACAAAGAGTGATAGATGTGGGAATTTACCCCTTGTCTGTGAGTTGTCTTGAATTTATAATGTTTTACCCATGTAAAATTTTTTTTTTTCCTATAAACTTCTGTAGCATTTTTGCTGTAAAAATGCAGAATGTTTTATCATTTGTGCTTCAGCACCCTGTCTTGGACAGATTAAAGGACCTGAACTGGTTCGTGTTACTTCTGTGCCACTAAATGAAGGCAGGCTCTGAGAAACAGGCTGGCTGTAGCCTTCCCTCTTTTGTGTTAAGGTCATTGGTGTCACAGCAGCAGCTTCTGTCCTGCTTTGCTCTAGCCTGTGTCAGCTCCCAGCAGTGTATGTTGTGTGCTGTGTTAGCAGAAAGTAGGGAAGAATATGATGGCCAAGGTAAGCTCTGTAACCACAACCATATTTTATTAACTTTTTTTTTTAACTGAAGATGCTGTGATGGTGCTTGCTAGCCAATTGCTTTTCTACTTTCTTTTTAAACAAAGTAAATCAAATCTTGTATTAAGGCCCTGCAGTTCAGTTGCTCTCTCCTACAGGCTTTTAATCTTGTGCTTCATTCCAAATTGTCTCTCTTGCCCCAAAGTTTGAAGCAAATACATAAACAGGAGTTTGGGATAAATGGCTGCTTGTTTGTAACCAAACTCTGGCCTGCTGCCCTTCCTCCTGCAGGCTCAGGCACCAGCCTGGAGCTGAAGGGGCTCAGTCCTGGCCAGGGCTGGAGCAGCGGTCAGTGGCCAGTTTTTCTAGCCAGGCGCTGGTGCTGCCCTGCAGTGGCAGCTGTTGGTGTACATGGTTTTCCCAGACCCATGGGCATAGAAAGCAGGGCTGTGTAGCTGAGCCTTCCTGGGCACAGGGTCCCCCAGTGTCATCACCGCTGCTTTGGCATTTGCCCCGTGCCAGTGACCTGTGGCTGTGGTCAGGGCCCACTCTGCCAGTGCTGGGTCCTGCCCTGCTGAGCCTTTGCAGCTGCTCATGCTGCTGTGCCCACTTCTCCTTGGCTTCCCAACATCTAGTCCGTTGCCGAAGGCCATTTTCTGTGGCTAAAACTAAACCGATGGTGTCTGGGGTCGCTTCAGCTGTAGGCCTGTGGGGCTTGTGTGCCTGTGTCATGGCCCCCGGCCCTTCACCATCGGCCATTTTGGAGCCGCGGCCCGGCGGCAAATGGTCGGAGGGGCGGTGGCGGCCGCCAGGGGGCAGCAGGCGGCCGCGTACCGTTCCCGCCGTGCCTGACGGGGCTGTTCGTGAGGGGCTGCTGGGGCCCTCGGCCTCAGCCACACCCGCACGGGGCCTAATGCCACTCCCGGACACATGGCACACCGTGGCATGTGGCACCGGAGAGGGAATGGGCAGGAACAGCTGTAAGTGCATCCACTCAGCAGCTGCATTTTGTCCGTGCTTATGAAATTTTTGGTGCCCTGGAGAGGCCAGCCCTGGTGACAGATGGCCCAGTTTGCCAAATACAGTATGTCCTGGTCCCCTTTGGTCTCTTTTCCCCGGCACTGGGAGTGACCCAGCTGGGTGCCAGCCCTGGAAATGGAGCCCTCCCCTCTGCCCATGCTTAAATGCCAAGGTGAAACCCATGGGTTCATCTGGCTTTTCTTCACCCCAGCCAGGTTCAAACCTCATGACCAGGGGTTGTGTTACCCCATGATGGTGCTTTGGCTGTGGAAATGAGCAAGGTCTCCTGTGGGGAGGGTAACAGGGACAGGAGGTGCACATCTGCACAATGAGAGAGTACTCAACAAAACAAGCGAGTTTATAATCCTGCTGAGGTGGATTTGCCACAGAGGTTGAGATGAGAAGCTCCTCCCTGCAGGGCACCAGGAGGATCAGAAGTTTAGTTTGAGATGAAGGTGGAGGAGTGCATGAAAGAGACAAAATACCCAACAGCCTTGTTACCATGCTAAGCTCCAGAAGGAAGCTGTGCCAAACTGGAACAGGGCAGCTACAGTCCCCAAATGCCTATTCCAAGGATTTAGTAGCACATTGCCAGGTTTTGTTCCCAGCAGAAACTCACAAGTAATGACACAAGATGAAGGCTTGTAGGATTTTTTTCTTCTTTTAACCTTTATTTAGAAACTATAATATTCACCAAACTCTACAAGGTTTCTCTGTACAGGTCCCACCAGGTGAAGAACAACACTGAGAGATGTCTGCACACAGCCCTGGCTCACTGTGCACATTGCCACAGAGAGCAAGAGCTTACCCCGCATCCAGGATAAATGTACAGCCTAAAGTACTGTACCTGACATAAATTATGGAGGTATCAATTTCAGAAGTGTTTCTGAACTCACTCCTGTTGGAAGTGGGGAAGGGAGGGGAAAAGGAAAGAGTTGTGTGCTGCCTAAGCCCAGTGGGTACCAAAAATGCCCTCAGGACTCTGCCCGGCTGCTCCAGGGACCCGGTGCATTGTACATCCAATTTCACAGTATCACCACCAGCCGAGCCCTGAGCAGCACTGGCTCTTTTTCTTCCTCCTCTTCAAATCTGCATCTCATCTGAGCAGGGCCATTTGGAGAGTGGTGTGGCTTGGCATGTGGGTGCCCTTTTTGACTGGTTTATGCCCTTTTTTAGTTTGTTTTCTATCCTGGGGAATGTACTTGGAGTAAATGAAAAAGGCCCATTTCCAAAATGCATTAAGAAAAAGAGAGAAAGGGAGTAAAAAAAAAAAAAAAAAGGCACTGCACAGGGGGACCTTTGAGGTAGTAAACATTTTTTCCTTTCAATGTCTGGCACCAGACAGGGAGAGGGAGTAAAGGTATCTGTGCCCGTGTTTCACTGTGCGTGGTCAGGGCCATGGTTGTGGCTGTGTGTGTTCACCCCCTGCAGGGACATTTGGGCATGCCAGCCGTACACACAGGGACATCTGTGTGTGCAGAGCCTGTGCCTGGGATCACGTGTGTGAGCATGTGGCTTTGCACATTCCTGTGGCTTTGCTCATGACTGCAGTCAGTGGCTGGAGAGCACCCGTGGCCCTTGTGTGGCCACATGTCTCTGTTGGGTGGTTTCCACCAAAGTAACCAGCCCAGGGCTCCCCTCGAGAGCTTGTGGCCCTTTCAGCCCAAATAAATGGTGTCTTGTGACACCATTCCCTGTTATGCTCCTGCATCTCAGCCTCTAGAATAAACACTGCAACAACCCTGAGCTGAGCAGATGTGTGAAACACCAGCTTTCTTTCAGTTTGTCCCCTTGGATCCTGCTTCTTATGCTAGAGCAGGGCCAATGTCTCCAACCTACCATGGAGCATCACAGTTGCTGACAAACCCAGGCTGAACCCCAAGCAGCCACACACAGGGCCTTTGTGGCTGTTGTCTCCTGCAAGGCAAAGCCACGAGGGCAGCTGTGCAGCACGGAGAGGGTCTCCCCACAGCACTCCCTGGGATACCTGGGAAGTAGGGTCCCAGAAGTTACAAATCCCTGGGGCACTGCAGGGGGACCACCAGTTTTCTCCACCACTTCCTTGGCCACAGGCAAGGGCAGCTGGCCTAGTCTCTTTCCTGCCAGGAAGAACAAATCCCTGAGGAATTTCAGCTGGGTGCATTCCTCTGAGGACATGCAGTAAGGCTGCAGAGGGGCTGGGGAGCCAAGCACAGCCCAGGCTGGTGCTGGGAACCACTGTTGCCTGGGACCCTCTGACAAGGACAAGGACCCTGGTCCCCCAAGTGTCAGGCTGAAAACCTAATGGGGACTCAGGGCTGTTGAGGGCCAGCCTCAGAGAAAAGCCCCTCTCCCCAGCTGCATAAGGGGACACAGGACTTTGGTGGGGATGAACCCAATGCACACACAACGTCAGTGTAACTAAAACCTTGCATGGAGAAGAAATTTGAGATAATAAATAAAATCCCATTATTTTTGAGTTGGGAGGGGCTGATGCACTTGTAATTGGCCGAACGCCCTTGGACCAGCTCCCCTGGATACCCAGACCCTGGACATCTCCAGAAAATGCCAGTGCCACATCCCTCCCTTCCTCCCTCCACCCCTCCACTCATCATGCTGCTGTGGAGGAAGTACCTAAAGCAGAGCACAAACCGCTTAGCCCTCTCTCCATTTTGTGCTAGACTTGTCATTTTTTGTTGGGTTTTTTCTCTTTTTCAGCAACCCCCAACCCAGCTGGAGATATGTGAACCACAATACAGTACAGGAACAAACACTATCACAAACCCTGCCCGTGAGCACAGTGTCTCTGCCCTCCTAACTCCGGAGGGCAGTGCCCCTGAAGGATTCATGTGCCACCAGGAGAGGCTCACCCCACCCCAGAGCAGGGATCAGTTGTCCCAGCTCCTGCAGTCCCAGCTCTCCAGAGAGACTGAGCTAAAGAACATTGAGTTTTCTTGAGCATGTCAAGTTACTGTGGACCAAGTCCCACATTTGGAGCAACTCTGGAGGCAGCAGTTTATGAACCACCAACATACTCCGGTAAAAACATGGCTCCTTGTTCATCTTGCTGTTCTTGTTTTTCACAATGCCAAAAGTTTTGAAGCCCTCATGCCCAACAGGTGACACTTTAAGGACCTCCAAGCACATCCCTAAGAAGACGTCATCAATGGGGTACAACTCCAGTGTCTCTGAGGCCTTATGAAGCCTCTTGGCCAGGGCTCCATCCATGATGAAGCCCCCACCCCCTGCATAGGGTGGGTAGATGTTTTTGTTGTAGAGGGCACTGGGGATGTAGTACTTGTTCTCCTTCTTACGGATCGGCCTGGCTTTGTAGAGGACATCCCCCACAAAGAGGTCCTTTCCCTCCTTCTTGTCCTCCAAGAACTCCAGGATATTGCTGGGACTCACAAACACATCGTCGTCGCCTTTGAAGATGAAGTGGATGTTGTCACAGTAGATGTCGACCCACTTGAGGAAATGGACCTCTTTGAGGGTGAGGTTGAAGAAGCTGTCCAGGAAATCCCACTGCAAGATGTCCCCATAGATGCGGTTCTCATAATCTAGCAGTTTCTGGTGGTTGGCTCTCTCCTCCTCCTTGGAGGCAGTGCCCAGCAAGAACAGTGTCCTGATCCTCTTGCCCTCCACCTCCTTCTCCTGGCCCCAGGTCCTCCGGATGGCCTCGCGGCGGTCGTGCTGCGTGATGATGGACTTGACCACGATGAGCAGGTAGACATCCCCGCTGCACTTCTCTGGGTGGTTGATCAGCATGGGGAAGTAGCGGCAGTGCCGATAGAGCAGGAACTGCTGGAAGTTGGGCTCCAGCCCTTTGAACCAATCCACCTTGCTGAAGTTCTGGTTGGCTGAGCAGTTGGTAGTGGTGACATCCCAGGATTTTGTTTGCTTTGCTGTCACGCTCTCCTCCTTCACAGGAGCTTTCTCCTTCTTGGTCTTCCAGAAAGTGCTGCTGATGGAGAAGGAGTTGTCTCTCTTCTGGGATTTCAAGGGCTCTGAAGGGGGCAGTTCTCTCTGCTGCTGGCCCTGCATGAACTGGTTTGGGGCCATTCCACGCTGCAGCACCGTCACTGTAATGATCAGCAAGAAGGAGAGACAAACTGTTTTGTAGATAGTCTTCTTCCTAAAGGGAAGAGACAAGGGGTTAAGAAGAAGAAACCACAGGCTTCAACAGATTTGTCTGCAAAAGCACTTCCTGGAGAGGTCATGGGATGCTCATAATCTATGTTCCATCACCTTTTGAGGAGTAGAAACCTCATGGGAAGAGCTGCGGGATACCCCCATGCACACTCTTCCCAGCTGCATTCTGCCTGTGGGGTGGCTCTGGGGCCACACTTCACTGTAGGGACAGGCACAAGGTATGTGGGGGTGGCTGCAGTGGCATCTGGTAACCCCACTGCTAAGATCCAGGAAGGGTTCACAGGAAGGATAAATATGGGCTGAGAGAAAGAGAGAGAGAGAAGTCAGGGTGAGAGTTTTAGCAAGGCAGCTGTTTCAGATGAAAGTCCCAAGAGTTTATCAGTTTAGGACAAGAGCAGGAAGGAATTATATTTTCCACAGAAGCCTCAGCTCCAAGACAGACATACTGTCCATGGCCTAGACTGGCATCACAGGTTACACAGCACTGTGAAACCAGAGCTGGGAAGACCACAAAAGTCAATATGAAACCAGCATTGCTGTTTCATTTCAAAATGGCACATCAGGACCAAAAAAAAAAAAAAAAAAGACATTTGAGTAAAATTTCATGGTTCAGTGGGAAAAAAAGACATCCCTAACCCTATAACCACCTTGGGAACCAGTATTTCTGGGGCACTTTCTGGGTGTTTTGGCAGCTCTTTGGTCCTGTTGCTTCCTGTGTGGTGATAAGGAGCAGCAGATGAAGGGCAGATTGGTGGGGAGATTTTCCCAGCCTGTGACATACCAGGTGTCTGCATGTCCAGGGAGTGCAGGGCATGAGTAGATCAAAGCCAGTTCTTCCTGAGGCCATCCTGCTGCTGTCCTCTGCTCCAGACCCAGAGCCCTGGGAAACTGCTGGCTTGGGGCAAACTCCAGGTGGAGCTCATAGGAGGCTTGAGCGGGATCCTCCTGAGGTCCTTGGGACTGCAGGAGGGCTGCACTTGGAGATCACTGACACACAATTCCTCCCCAGCCTGCTTTTCCACACAGCTAAAGGTGGGTTTTTTATCCCACTGCCACAGAGGAGGGGGACTGCCCTCTCTGCCCAGCTGCATAATGTAGCTCCAGAGTTCTCGGCTTCCCTCCACAGTTTGCACATCTGCACCAACTCCCTCCTGCCTCAGTCCTGCGTTTTCCATCTGCCTTGGGACATCTCCCTGTGCAGATGAGCACTGGGCATGGGAGGATGGCAGCTGAGCTCCTCATCTCTGCTCCCAACAGCTTCCCAAGTGCAGCTGCTTCTCTATCTGCTCTGACAAAAGGTGCTTGGCAGTCCCTGGATGCCTTTTTCCTGACACTGGGTTATGGAGCTGACAGAGACAGATGTGGCCCTTGTCTTGGCATGCCCCTCTGCCTGTCCTCTTTATGTCAGGAGCACAGCCCAGCCTAGGTGGGCTACCTGTCCCCCGCACTGGGGACAGCCCTCAGCCACCTGTTCCCATCAGAGCCAGAAAAATCCAGACTCGTATCTAGCAGGCAGATGGCATCTTAACTTCAGGACAGTCCAGAGAAGGAGCTTGGGGCTGAAACCTGAAACATTTAACCCAAGTATTTTCCAGATAGACAAAAAAAAACCAAAAGCCATGAAACTCTCCTAGACCCGGGGGCTGGATTGTGATCAGAACCACTGTGAAGCTGCTGGACTTCTGGGCCTCAGGCTGACCCAAAACAACTGCTTGGTGGGACACCCCATAGGTTGCCATATTCCCCAGGGCAGGAGACAACACTGTGTTCGGGGATTCCACTCACCCTGAAATGCAGGAATGTAGGAATCTCAGACTGGGAATCAGGAGCTTTCAGGAGCTCCTGTCTCTGGCTTTGCCCTGAAGCACAAAGAACTTTTGAGCCTGACGCTGCTGTGGGAAAACTGTGATCACTAGTGTGGACTGTGGGAGCGAGCGTGGAAATAAGTAATTACGGGTAAATGGATAGATATTCCCCATCCGGTTTTATATGTGGCCACTCATCTGAGACTGATGAGGGAGCAGTTCTGATTAGATCTCACCATTCCCTTAACCCTCTCCAGCCCTGCCTGCACAGCTTTGAGCTTATTCTTACAAACCCTTCAGTTCCAGTACAACTTTACCCCAAGCACAGCCAAGCAATATTTAAAACCTCTCATCCACACTCAGCACTGCTGTAGAAATAACCCCTGTCACTCTTGTTGAGTAATTTCGTTTGTATCAATCCCATCCCATCCTGTCCTATCCCATCATATTCTTACACTCCCCACCACCCAAGGACAACAAGCAATAAAATACTCAGCCTGAATGATGGCCAAAAGTTCCCCAGAAACTAAAGGGCAGGGAATTACTGGCAAAAGTTTTAAAAATTTGCATAGGTAGGGCCGTCACTAACTGGCACAGACGCTCCCAGCCTTGGCAGACTCTGCCTAACAGAAAGCAGCTGCATGGGTGCCCTGACCCCCATTACTCTCCTTGGGTCCAAACAGAAGATTCTAACCCAGAGCTGAAGGGGCAACTCCAGCTTTTATTAAGAAGTAGAGTGTTGAGTGCCCTGGGTATGTTTATAGGTGAGGTGTTGCACAACAGCACAGAAACTTATTCCTTCTTCCTTCAGTGGACCCTGTTTCCGAGTTCTCACCAGCGCAATTTCTGCTTTGCTACAAGAACCTATTTGGGATTTTTCCTACTGATCTGACTGCAAACCACGGGGTGCCATCAGGTCCAGCAGGAACCAGGAGCTCTACAGCCACCTCTGCCCTGCAGAAACCCTGTCCCTGCACTGCCAGGAAAGTGACGGAGACTGGGAGGACCCTGAGCCACAACTGCAGGCAATTCCCATATCAAACCAAGGATTAGGGGGTTAAAAGAGCGACAATTGTTTGTGCATCTTTTCAGATTGCAAGTCTTTCTGCTCTGTGGTCTCCTCAGCTGGGAAGTACTCTAGGTACGGGTGAAAAAGTAATTCCTGCTTTCTGGAGATCGGCAAGCGAGGTGCTTTGGGTTTACTGCCATTGCAGAGAAGTGACCCTGCCAAGCCCCAGGACCCTTCTTTGGGGCACAGACCCCAACCAGTCCCCATAGTGTCCCCAGGAGCTGGGGACACCCAGCACAGCAAAGTCCAAGGGTGGCAGACATCGGGGGTGGGGGTGGACTCCCATCGGAGCCAGCCAGGTCCGTCTGTCCCACCTGCTGGTGTTGGTGCCACCAAGAGAGCTTTAGAAAGGTCTTAACATACTCCTCCTCTTCCCTTTTATCCACCAAGGAAACTTCAAAAGCTTCACTGTGAGGTGGCTTCCCCACCAGGCAGTTAAACATAAACTCTAAATTAGAGGTGGGCTGTATCCTTTTCAGGTGTTGATGCTCGAGGGCAGATGAGGCCATGGGAGACAGGGGCTCTCTATCCCTATCCCATTCACTTTGGATTCACGTGAAAACCCCTTTGATCCGCTAGCGCTATCTATTTATGTGATAGGGGTTTTTTTGGCCCCTCAACTAGACCCAGTCGCTGGAGGCACCGCCAGTACAGAGTCCTGTCTGCTGGCAGTGCCAAGGACTTGGAGAGGGGATCTTATAAAGGGGCAGATGCTGGGCAGAAAGCACCCAAATGTCCCCGAAGGCAGTCTGTGCAATAGCTGGGGTGCAAACACCAAGTGGGGCCGCAAGTCGCCATGGAGGTGCCCGGAGACACGTCCCCTACTCAGAAAAGCCATCTGGTTGAATTACAAGGCGGTAAAAACAGCCTTCTGGGGAAGAGGCAAGAGCCGAAACCCCGGGTGTTGCCCCCGGCGGGGGCATCTGCCCCCAAGCTGCCGCTGCCGTGGGACAGGGACCCCACCGGGCAGGGCTGGAGGTCCTGTTGCCTCAGGCCACACCACACAAACCAGCGCTTTTTAGGGAAAAGATGAGAAAGGCATCCCCCGGGACTGGGGGGCACCAAGCGGCCGCCCCTGCCCGTTGCCCCCATCCTGCTTCCCGCCGGGCCGGAGCTCCGGTGTCCCGACATGGAGAAAAAAATTGTGTCGGGAGCGGACGCCCTTGCCCAGGGAGACCCCGCCTGGGAGCCCCGCAGAGCCGCGGCGGCGGGAGGGTCGCTCCCGGGATGGGGACAGACGGACAGGGGACAAATGACGAACTCCGTCCTTAGTCGCTTTCCATATGCCCACCGTCCCCACCAGAGCTACCCTTCCCCGGCCAGCCCCCTCCGAGGCGAATCTCAAGAGGGATCCGGTGGGGAGGGGAGCTCGCAGTCCCCCGGCTCCGGGCAGGACGCAGCGTCGGGACGGCGGTGCCGGGCACCGGGAGCGGAGGACACGGGACGGCGGAGCCAGGGATACCGGGACTCGGTGCGGGAGCGGGGCTTGGGCTCCGCGCTCCCCGGAGATCACTCACCACTGGAACATGCTGGGAGTGGGACGGGGCGGCCGCTCCGCTGCTGGCCGTGCTGCCCGCGGTCCGGGCGCTTCTCTCTGAGCTCTTCCTCCTCCTCCTCCTCTTCTTTTTTTCTTTTTTTTTTTTCCCTACTTTTTCTCTTTTCCCTCCCCTCTCTCTCCGAGGTGGAGCCTAGAGATAGATGGCAGAGCAGGTAGGTTAACTCTTGCCCTGCCCTCTGTCCCGTCCCCCCGCCCCACCCAACAGACAGACACCTCCCCGGTGCTCCCAGGGCAGAGTTTAAAGGTGACATCCCACGCGTCCCCCTGAGGACTCTCCCCGCTGTTGATGGCACGCTCACCAGCATCTGGCAATTCGGGGGCGTCCTACTCCGGCTTCTCGTGTACTGTGCCCTCTCTGGGGTGAATTAGCTGTGCCCCAGAGTCTTTGATACACATCCAGGGATCCCCACCTCTCCTGGGACCTACCCTTCCCCCATGACCCACATCTCACTCAGGGTCCACACCTTGTCAAGGACCAATACTCTGCCCAGGACTCCAGTCTCACCAGGTATCCACGCTCTGTACAGGACTCACACATTTTCTGGGACCCATAGCTCACCTGGGGGTGTAGGGAGTTGATGGGGAGTTGCTGCAGCAGGAAAGTGCCTGCTCAGCATGCTGGGACCCATCATGTGTCAAATTCCCAATACCATAGCAGGCAGGTGAGGTGTCCTTCCAAACTGATCCTTCAGCCCTGGTTAGGATGCAGTTTTATCAGCATTCCTGCTACAGCCGTATCAGCATGGGACATCCCATTGCCCATTAAGAAGCAGATTAAAGACCTTCCTTTTAAATGTAACATTTCAGTTGCAGGTGTTTTTCAGCCATAAAAATCAGTTCCTGTAATTTCTGATATCTCCCTTTTTTTGTCATCCTCCCAATTCCACCAGCTGTTCATGTCCATCATGAAGCCAGCAGGAAATTTGCATTTCCTTTCCTGTCCAGCAGAGATATCACAGTCCCTTTCTGAACAGTTCCTCTGCATTTTTCATGGGTGATGAGGGTCAGCGCCTCCTACAACTCTCACAACCCATTGGGCACACTGAGGTTCTCATGGGAAAGACTCTTCTTTCCAAGACTGGACATGCAGAGGGACCCATGCATCTCTGCTACTCAAAGACCACCAAGAGAACTCCAGCTCAGTCTGGGGAGGAAGATTGTATTGCATTCTCCAGATCTGTTTCTCTTTATCTAAGCTTATCGCTTTCCCAGGTGCTCTGCAGCTCTGTGTCCTGGGGGCTGTGAAAGCTCCCCAGGAAACATTGCCCAAACAGGCTGCACCAGCTCTACAGCATCCCATGTCCTTATCACCACCAAAAGTCCATACATACCTTCCCTGAATCCTTTTTAACCTGTTCCCAGTGCCTATAGGAAAGTTTGTATTTGCTGCACTCATGGTCCCAAGAAAATCATGGCCATGAGACGCAATGAGCATCAGCTTGACCAGAACAGGCTGTAAGAAGGACCCACTTCATCCCTGCAGCACAAGGGATGGTAGGTGCATGCCACCCCATGGCTGGGAATTCATCCCACTCTGCAAAGAGGGGCTTTTCCTCCACTCCACTTTGTGCACAAACAGGCACAAAGGGATGTGATCAGGAGAGCTCTGAGAGTGCAACAACCATTTAACCTTGCAATTTGTCCTGGGACCATGATGGGGCCAGGGATGGCAGTATCTGCTTGTGGGGAGCAGCAGTAAATCCCAAACCACAGCCCCAGGGTGACTGCTGCCATTCCAGGGCACCCAGCAGCTGTGGGTGTGTGACAGTGGATGTGGGCTTTGTGGATGCCCCGGCATCAGCACATCCAGCCAGCAGGCACAGGGCTGATGCTGCAGCCTGAGGGCTGTGCTGCTCTGGTGTGGAAGTGGCACTGCTGCAGGGTAAGGAGGGCTCCTGGCAGTCTGGGGCAGGGAGCTGTGCCAGCCGTGCTCCCATTGTCCCATTCCACCTCTCTGATGGCTGCTTCCGTGCAGGAAAGCTGTAGGGCTGCAAGCACAGAACTTCCCAGGTGATGCCATGCTGCTGTGCGGGGTTTTGGCTGAAATAACCCCCTACCTCCCCCTGTGTGTGAAAAAGATGCACATCCAACTGCATGCGAGCACTGCAGGCCTGGTGTGATGGCTGCACAAAGCTTTACCTCTGATAGTCTTTAAATGCTCAGATCCTGTCAGGTCTGGGGCTTCTGATGTCTGGAATAAACAGAGTCTTGGGCATCCCTGGCACCACCAGCTTCTGTTTCAAGGGTGCACCTGAAAATGAAGCAGAATTGTTTATGATTTTTTTCATCATTACATAGAAAAGTTTAGGACAAACCCAAGTTTTCAGCTATTTAGATTTGCCCTGGGAAAGCAGAAAAGCAGCAGGAAGAACAAAATCTAACTGAAAGCATATTTCTTTAAAAAAGTCTTACTCCACACACATTCCCTTTGCCTCTTTCCAGCACCCAGCAAGAACAGGTTTCACATGAGCAGCCACAACCACTCTGCTGAGAATGAAACATAAAAAAGAGAAACCTGAATATTTTTATTCACTCCAGCAGACTCAGCCAGCAGTATATCCCTGCCATTCCTGCCCAGCCCTGCCTTCAGCAAAGCAGCCAAATCTGAAGCCCTGCCCCTCTTCCTCTGCAGCACCCATCACCTGTATTTCCTAGGTCTGAGCCATTCGCTGAAATTTGGAGGCACCAGGTGCCTTGTTGGCACTGTGGGCAGAGGTGTGAATTTCTGGATAAGTGCTCTTGTGTGCTGCTTGGGCATGGAATAGCTGAGTTCCTCCCTCTGCCTTTCAGAACACCAGTGACATTTGAGGTGTGCCAGGCCACTGCAGCCCTGGGACAGCTGGCAAGGCACCTGCAAGGGACCTGTTGTTGTTGCATTGGCCTGGGATGTAGAAGGGAAGGCAATGCACAGATCTTCCTGGGTGACACCTGAGCGACAGCCAGGGTGACACCAGCTCCTGCTGGCAGCATCTCCACATCTGATGGCTCCTGGGACCCATCTGGAGAGAGCCAGTCCCAGTGCCACACACCCACCTCCTACCCGAGCATTATCCCAACTGATGGCACTGCTGGAGATGGGGAGGAGCAACCTGTGGGGACAAGGCTTTGGAGCTGGCATCAAACAGGGCTCCAGGACATTGTCTGGGTTAAGAGAAAGGACAAGGACTGGGGTGATGCCCAAGTGGCTCATTTAGATGTTCTCAAAGCAAACCACAGTGCTTTTTTTGTTTCAAGAATCCTCTTTTAATTTCAAAGTGGACCTGAACTAAAAAGTTTCATTAAAAAAAAGTAGTACAAAGAAAGAAGTGAGCTTTTTTATGAAGTTTATGTAATCCCAGAAGACTGGCTAGTGGCAGATTGACCCAGCCAGTGTTTTCCCACTGATGGTTTGGAATTTGTTTCACTGGGGAAAGCTGCACTGGTTTCTTTGATATGGTTTTTGTTTTTTTGGTGTGTGTGAGTGTTGTTTTCTGATTTATTTTCATTCCAGCAAATTATACATACACAGAAAAAACTCTCACTTCTTCTTCCAGGAACTCTCACACCTCCTGACCACTTGTGCCAACACTGTGGTCCCTGGGCTGGGTTTCCCACACAAGCCAAGGTCCCGTTGCCCTGCGGAGACACACAAACCAGCCCTCTCCTCCCCAGACCTCTGAGTGCCTGGAACAGGACCAAGGGCTCAGCTTGACCTGAGACCAGCTGCAAAGGGGGTCACACTTTTAGGTTTTCCTTTGTTAAGCCACTCACCTGTGGTGTACCCTGGAGCAGGGAGAGAGGTCAAGGCTGCAATTTGTTTGGCTGAGCCAGACTCCCACCACATCAAGACTTTGCACAAACCGTGTGTGTAAAAGTGTGTGCACTTTGCATACACTCAGGAACAAACATCCTGGATGTGATAGGACAGGGAATGTTCCTTTCTCCTTCCATGTTTGTTTTTAAGCACCTTTCATGATGCTGTGGTAAAGAGCAACCCTGTGAGACTCGCCCATCACCGCAGCTCTCACGTGGGACACTGGGAGCTGTGACTCTGGCTGGGAGATCTGCCTTAGTCCCAGGGAAGGTTCCCCAGGCAGTTGGGATTAATTATTAACCTGATTTATTGCTGCGTCTTGGAAGGTGGAGCAGACGTCATGAATTGACCAGTCTGACGTGGCACACCGGGAAAGACATCCACCCCCGCAGAAAGCTCCCTCTGCTTGCCCATGCTAACAGGGCCATAAAGCAGACCTGGGCGGGGTGAGTTATTTTACTCATTAACCCCAGTGCCCCGTGGCTGTTTCCATCTCAGCGCCTCTGCCAGAGCGGGACCATGCTGGCTCCCAGGATGCAGGAATAAGTTTCCTGCCTTCCCACAGCCAGTTGCTCCATCTCACTCCATGGGCCTCTGCATCTCACACACTGAAACACTGGGGGCTGCCGAAACACCTTGAGCCACAGCTGAAAGCCACACCCTCTATCCTGCCTGGAATCAAACACTCCAGGATTTGCATTATTTCTTCCAAAAATAGGGGAGGAGTGTAAATTGCTTTGCCAGCCCCCGTTGCTCCAGGGTCCCCAAGCTGCTGTTGTCCTTTGCAGACCCAGCTGTGGGATGCAGCTGGGGCTGGCAGGGAAGTGCTTTCCTGGTAATTGTGCCAGGAGCCACAGGAGCAGGGCAGGGGGAAGCACTCTGTGAATCTGGGTGAGCAAACCCCAGGCACAGGCCCACCCTTGGGCTGCCCCTTCCTCTTTTTCCCCAGTGAAAAGGCCCCCTCCAGCCTCAGGGCTGCTGCCCAGTGAGGATGCTGCCTTCTCTTCCCATGGGATTTAAACCCCTGGGACACCTGGGTGTCCTGGGGAGCCTGTGTGGCTGTGCTGTTGCTTTAAAGCAGCAGCTGGATCCAGCTGTGACTGCGAGTAACCCTCACCGCAGCCTTGCCCAGGTCTTTTATGCATTTTCCAGTGGTTCCAGAGGCTCTTGGCGGCAGTGTGCAGGGGAAACCAGACTCACTCGCTGCTGGCGAGCAGAACGGGAGGGGAAAGGGAAAACATTTCCCTTCCCAGAGGAACAGGGGGAGCCCAGTGCTGCAGCCTGGGCAGTGGGCACGGAGGGGGCAGGCTCTGGGGCGTGATGCAAACAGCCTGAGGTTGGGCACAGTGAGCCACAGGCCCTGGCTTGTCTCTTCCAGCCCAGTGTGCCCCAGCAAGAGATGCTGACCAATGTGCCTCAGCTTCCCTTGCGCAGAAAGCCCCAGGGTCTGGGTTTTTCCTGATAACCTGTGGTAGGGTGGCATTCAGGCACTGAAACAAACAAGCCCATGAGGACACACAAGATGGAGAAATCTTAGGGGACGTGAATGTGGGGTTTGAGATGGGAGACGCTCGCATGCTGCCCAAACCCAGGAAGGAAGAGAGAGGATGGGGTGCTTGGCTTTGGGAAGGAAAAGACCTGTCCTGGTGCTGAAGGATGATCATTTCCATCCTGGACCCTCCAAAGATGTGGAAAAGAGGAAATCAGGAGTGTTGGAAAAGCAATGTCATGCCAGCAGTGATATCAGGAGCTGTGCCTGTAGAGATGCTCCTGCCCATTGCAGGAACCATGGGCCTGTCCTGCCCAGCCCTTGCCACCCTGACTGTTCTGCCACGCTGGCTACGGGCACAGCCTGAAGGTAAAGCCCTGGTTGGGCATCATCCCAAGGAGCTGCTCTCCCAGCTCCAGCCTGGGAAGAGCTGCAGATGCCAGCAAAGCCCTGGGAAGTTGTGCTGCCGGGGGACTGGCATGGGCCCAGAAGCCATGAGCTGCAAGGAGACGTATTTTCCATTGGGCAGGAGAGCACTTGCGACGTCTCTCATGAGTCAGATGGAAAGGGCGGCTCAGGAGTCACCTGAGCCGGGCGGCTGCCTGCCCACGGCCCCTCTCCAGCCCAAGTGGAAAAACATACAGCCCCATACATGCCTGCTGAGACCCCGAGCTCTGGCCGGGCCCCCTCCCAGGCTGGCAGATGCAGAAATGCTCACATTAGCCTTTTTTGGCCAAATGGGTTTAGGAGAGAGGCAGAGACAACTCAGACATCCCTGGCTCTGTGGCTCTGCTCAGCATTAATCATCACTCTGCTGCTGCTCGTCGCCAAAACCGGGGCTCTGCTACAGCCACTGGTAGATCTGTCTCCAGCAAGAGATGGGGAGAGGGAGAAGGACGGCATGTGGAGTGCAGACTTCCCCTCTTTGGCTGGGACTACTGGACTGAAGCCATGGCAAAGCTCCCTCCTTTTGGATGTGCACGAAGGGAGGCAGCACCCGCAGTGCCACCCTGGGCAGGCACCTGCTGGGCATAGGGCATGACCCTTGCATGGGCACTGATCCCCAGCCCAGCTCATGGAGCTGGTGGGAGAGGTGACAACAGCAATTTGCTAGCCTGGGAGTAGCTGAGACATAAGAGAGACCTCTGGAGAGAAGAGAGTCAGCACACCCAGACGCATTCCTGAGGTTTGGTTTCCATGGTGGGATGTTCAGCCGACGGTGAAGTCATTCTATGCTGTGGGCTGAGATGGCCAGTGAGTTAATGCATGGATCCAGCTCCTTCCCTGATTCACAGCAGGCGCAGCCACAGCCCCGTGCCATCTGCTGGGCTGACGGCTCTTACGTGGCTCTGGCATTTCCAGTGTCTTGGTGGAGGGAGGCTCCAGACACCCCTGCTGGGTTGATCCCTGCCTCACCATAGGAAAACAGCTCCTGCACAGGGTGGAGGACAAACTGATGGCTCTCCTGGGTCCTTCCAGCCCATTTGTATCATCACACTGTGCTCCCCATCATGGTTTACTTTCCCTTCATCCTCCTGCTGTCACTGGTGACAACAGGACAGAAATGCACCACCCTAAGAGGTCATTCCTGCAGGGCCAAAACTTTGAGGATGTGACCCAACACTAAAGAGAGGTGGGGAAGGACAGAGAACTGGGCATCATGGAAGGAGCAGGGTGGAAAGCCCATCAGTTCTTGGGGTGAGGTGGCAGGGACACTCCCTGGCACAAGCAGCTCGTGGTGCCAACACCGAGCATGTGGCTGCAGAGTTCAGCAACGAGGCTGCACAGATCAACAAACCAGAGGTGTGGTGGGTGAACTAGCCCTGAAATGTCAGCCAGTAAGTTGATAGGATTATTCCCAGCCTCTGGGGTGGTTTTCTGCACAGGGATGTGGCCAGGCTGCTCAGAGCCATCAGCTGTGCTCCCATTTGTTCACTGGTGAGACCCTCTGCTTTTGGGCTGTGGCTATTTGTGCTAAAGGGAAATATCTTAGTCTGACTTTGTTCATCAAAGTTCAACTCCCTCACAGTCCAGTCAGCTAAATCCCCATTAAAAAGCATATCCCTTTAGGGTGCATCTCCTGATCAACCACCTCTGCAGCGCTTTTTGCACACTCTGCACCAGTTGCCCCTGCCATCCTGCTCTCCCCAGCAGCTCTGGGCTCCGGGACAGGGGCAAGCTGAACCCCAAGGGGCCTCTAGTCTTCTCTTGCTGGCATCTTACATGAGCACACGATGCCTTTGGAAGACTGTAGGAGGTGCCTAATTCTCAGACACATCATGGGGGATCTCTTTGGATGGTAGCACCACCATGTGCAGAGCTGTTTGCTTTTGAGATAAAACCAAACCTTCCCATACATGTTTGCATCCAATCTAAACCAGAAATTCCTCCCTGCTTCTTGTCTCACAGTGCAGCCAGGCACAGAGGTCCTAACTGGGACCACCAGGAAGCCACTCTCCCTTTGGGACAGCTATGAGCAATGTTCCCTGCTCCAGGAAGTGACAAGCCACCTCCTGGCTCTGCCAGGTGACATCCCTGGGGACCAGGAGTTGATGCTGGGGATGTGTAAGGTGCTGGCACAGCCTAGCCTGGGTGGGTGTCAGCCAGAGCAGGAAGTGCACAGCCAAACTGAGCCAAAGAAAACCGGCACCTCCAGGGATGTTTTACACCAGCCAGGATGAGCCCCAGCCTTGCAAGCCAGCGCTCGAGACACCAAAATGTGGCACAAGACAGCTCCCTTTCTCAAGGACACCAAGGATCTTTCCTGGGCTTTCCCAGTCCTTCCCTAGACTTTGCCACCCAAAGTCACACGGAAGTCCAGTGATGGGTGCAGACAGACCCAGCTTCCTCTGCCCCCTTCCCGTTCTCATCCCTGGCCCCACACAGACACCCAGGTGTGATGCAAGGCTCCCACAAATCCCTCCAGCCCTGGAAACGCCACCTTCCAGCCTCCCTCCTTCCTCGGGCCTTTCTGCCTGCACTCCATGCTAATGAGCTCCATTTCGGCACCTTTCCCTGGGAAGCCGGCCCCTCCTGCGGCGGCTCCAGCTGCCCTCCGGCCCGGCTGACTCAGGCTCGGCACACACTGGGCCCTTTCAGCAGCCTCGGCCCGAACACTGTCCCAGTCTTCCCAGCCGAGCCCCCCCAGCGCCCGCTGCCGGCACAGGCTCCTGGCCAAGGGGACACATCCACGCCCTCCCTGAGAGAGCGGCTTTCATGGCTGGGAAGCCAGAGACCTTCCCGGAGTCACCGCGGCCAGGATGAGGCACAGGCAGGAGCTCCACCGAATGGGATGGACACGCAGAGCGGGTCCCTTTGAGCAACAGCCAGCAGTTAAAAAAATAAATAGATCTATTTGAGAAAAAAAAGGGTTTACAAGCTTCTAATGTGACCGTTCTTGGCTTGGACAGATTAAACCTGTCAGGAATCTTTTCCTCCTTTCTGCCTTCACCAAACTTCCTCTGACCAACAGCGGGGCTCTGTCTGCTGTGCGGGGATGGGGCCACAGAAGGGGCTTCGCTGTTGCCCAGCTCCCAAACTAGCAGGGGGGTGAGCACCACCATCCAAACCTCCCCCTCACCTGAAAACATTGCGAAATCCTCCACCAGATGAGCTGCTGGAAAAGCCACTTGCACTTTCTGAGGGCCAGGGCTGTGCAGTGTGCCGCAGCAGCCCCTGCACTGCACCGGGCCCTGCTTGTGCGAGGGGACTTGCTGGCCCTCCCCAGAGTCTTGTGTCCAATGGCCAGGGGTGAAGTGCCTGGGAAAGTCCATGCATGGAGTTCTAGGGGTGGGTGGTCTCAGGTGTACCCCAAAAGAAGCCTTACCAACCTGCCACAGCCTAACTCCAGGGCTTTTCAGCTGTCACGACCTCTCCAGCAAGGTGTGCGTGCCTCAGGAGACACAAAGAGCAAGGTGAGCTCTTGTGACCCTGGGAGGCACAGTGGGGATGTGCAGGAGCCCAGTGGCAACCTCCAGGCATGAGACTGCATGAATATCTTCTGTCTCTTTCCTTCCTGCCTCTTGCTGTGATTTTCACCTGTCTTCTGTTCAGATTGCCAGAATGCCCAAAATACCCCACAAAACAGATTCCTTTGTCTGTCCAGGGAGATCACCATTACCACAGCTCTCAGCACAGACAGGACAAAGGGGAAAAAGGGGTCTCACAAGGTGGGGAGTGTGGCAGGGTCACCAATGTACCTGAAGCTGTGCTGATTTACACCTGTAGAGCATTGGGACCTGCTCCAAGCTCAGCTCTGGGCTTGGGAATAGGGTTAGTGGGAAAAACCTACAACCCTGACTGTGCTACACTGCAAGAGGCAGCTGAACAGGCTCAAGGGGAATCTCCACCAGGAATTTGCTACTGACTGCCTGACAAACCTCTGCTCTTGCCCAGGCATTTCTCCTTGGAGGGTTTGTTTGTCTTCTTCCACAAGTAGGGCCAGAGAGGGGAAATGTCAGGATTTTGGTGGGAGGAATGCAGTAGCTGAAGGGCTGAGATGTGCATCACAGCCGCCCTCCCCTCTGGGCACTCGCCAGGTTTCGGTAGCAGTGAAGTCCCTCTTCAGCTCCTATTGCAAATGAAACCACCACAACAAATGAGGGAGTTTTATAAGCCTGGAAAGAGGCATGAGGTTTTGCAAGCTGTGCTTAACCTGGGAAAGGTCACCTGGAAACTGCACTCCTGGCTGTGGGGTGAAGCCATGTGTGTGTGGACACCAGCACCAGCCGCCCCAGGGGAAGGACGTGTCTTGTGGCTTGTCACCAGACATTGCAAGGTGAGCACAGCCCACAGACTCGAACTGCTTGGATCACAGAATAAGTACTGCTGCATCAGGCTGCAGAAACCTTTTCCACTCCTTCTCTCTCAGTTATCCTTCCAACATTGCCTGGTTTTGTTAGGGAGCAGGGGGATGGATCCTATGAACCCCTTAGCACAGCCCAAGGAGTGTGTTGGGGGGACAAGACCCAGCTTTCAGGGTAATGGCAGCTGTGCCAGATATTATAATGTTGAAGAAGGGTGGTGGCAGCCACAGGAGGACAGTTTATGGATGAGGTTTAAATACATACAAGAGCCCTGAGATTCCTAGAGCCCAGAGGGACCCCATTTCTCAGGCCTAGTGCTGCTGAAGCGGAGGAAGGGCCAGAGAGCATTTCCCACACCCAAGCCCCGCAGGTCACTGTGTGCTGGGGTCAGCAGGGAAGGAGGGGAGCCCTGCCCCTGCAGGCAGCTCTGCTCTGGGCTGGCCCCAAATCCCAGGTGGGTCCCAGCAGAGCAATCTGTTCACAGGGCTGACGCAAATATTTCCATTGCTCCCGCTGGCCTTGGGATCACCCATCCAGCGGCAGAGCCTTGGGCCAAGCCACAGCTCTGCCACAACATTATCTTCATTGCTTGCAAAGGGAGAACCAATACATTTCACACCCAGAAAACACAGAGATTCTTTTCTCAATAATCTGAAAAAGCAATTGATATATGTGTGGAGGAAGGGGAGAGGCAGAAGAATGTATTTATGGAGCTTTATTTGTCACTGGTTCCTGCACGGCCAGGCTGGACAGCTCTAACCTGCTCAAACTTGCTCCTTTGTGGCAGAACACATTGTTTGAGTAAAACCCAATACCAGCAAACTCAGTGATGCAACAGAGACCTGAGAGATGCTGCCTATGCAAAATAATGCAGCAGGAAAAAATGAAGTTTGGGTTTAGAGCAAAAGGAACAGTGCATGAAGAGATGTGGAGCACTGGCACTTTGCACCCCATTAACTGGGGGTGGCACTGCAAAGGAAAACCTGGGCTGGGTGTGTACAGCCTCAGTCCTTGGCGTGGGTTGAAGGTTCAGTGGATGTGGAGGAAAAGTCAGATCCCATGTAACAGCTCTCAGCTGATGTGGGCACAGCATGAGCTAAGTCTATGTAGAAGTAGGATCAAAACTATCTCAATTTCACTGTGAAGTTAATAGTATGTAAGAGCTTCCCTTCTGAACCACACCAGCGGAGGAGATGTGGTTGTCCCAACAAATACCATCTATTTCTCACCCTCAGGGTCATGCATGTTAGCTTCAAACTGTGCCTGGAAAAGAAAGTAAGAAGAAGCTAGTACTGATCATGTTGACATTTAAAGTCTCCAGACAGTCCAGCAGTCCCCATAAGCACAACACTGCTGCTGTTTCCCCAGGTGCATCCTCCCTTTGCACAGAACAGTTCTTGCACCCTCACCCTGCCCAAATATTTTCACTTTGCTGTTAGAACACACAAGACAGCACTAAGGGATCATAACAATCACCCCTACCAACATGCAATGGGACCCCTGGATTAAACAATAAGGATGAAAATAGGACCCCTCCTAAAACTCAGTCTCTACTTTTTTGGGCTGGTGGTCCCCAGCAGCCTCCCAGCCCTGCTGCTCACACTGCAGCAAGGCTCAAGGGGAAGCCCCGTATCTCCCCTGCTTTTCTATTGCAATCTCCCCATCTCCCCTGAGGCAGGTGCAAAGCTCTCTCTCACTTGAAGGGGTTAAAACAAGGAGATACCTTTAAAGTATTAATTTTTTTCGTTTGAGACAACCACTTACCAGAAAGGTATTTCTCAACTTCTTTGTGATGTGTCAGTTCTGAAAGTAGGTGTGGTGGTGGTGGTAAAGTTTCCATTCCTGAATCTTTACAGGAACAACCTCTATTTCATATTGATTCAGCCTTTACTGCATCAGGGCTATTGTATGAACTTCTCCATGGTTAAGCCTAATACAAACTAATTGGTACATACACATCTAACACAGGCCAAACTGCTGGCTTGAGCTGCTGTAAGAGAATCCTGATTACAAATGGCTCTAAATAATAATCCAGGCTGAAATGCAGCTTCCTTGTTGATTTGGTGCTACTTTAGCAAACCAGAGTTTTTAGCTTCTTTTCTTTCCCCATCCTTTTGTTTCAGAGCCCAAGCCTGCACAGAAAACCAGGCACAGCAGCAGCTGCTTGAGGCAGTTACAGATCTATTGCATCAATTCATGACGAGACACAGGAGAAAAACTCTTTGTGGTTAAAAAACTGATATCCTAATCCATAGGGCTGAAAAGGAGCCTGCAGCAGCTCTGGCACAGTCGGGCAGTGACAGCCTGACTTGGAAGAGCTGCTGCAGTAGCATGAACCTTTCCTGAAGTGGGGAAAAGCAAGCACCAGCTCCCAGTGCAGTATTGATCTCTTCCATCCTGTTCAGCTGAGGGTTTTAAGTCACTGTCAGCAACTCCCTGGAAACAGAGCAGATGACCAAGGGTCCTCTCTCCTTTCAGGGTTGTATGCCACATCCTCTCAGATCTCCCCAAAAGTGTCCAGGAAAACCCCCACTTTCCACTCTCTAACTGGTCTGCAACCAGTAACTGGGTGCCAGCCCCACACCAGCCCCTGCTGCCACCCACCAGTTCCTCTGGTGCCCAGCTGGGCTCAGAGGAGCTTTTGCCTCTCCTGAACTGAACTGTGCTTCCACCCCTCGCATGCTGTGGCCGGTCCCATGCAAAGCACAACAAAAAGACACACCTGCCCTGGCTGGGACCAGGACAGAGCTCGTTTTCTCTCTAGTAGCTGCTGTGGTGCTGTGTTTTGGGTCTGGAACCAAACAGTGCCGATAAGGCAGGGGTGTTTTAGCTGTTGCTTACACAGCACGAAGGCCAGCTCTTGTTTCCCACGCTGCCCCACCAGCGAGCAGGCTGGGGGTGCACAAGACAATGGGAGGGGACAGAGCACAGACAGCTGATCCCAGCTGATCAAGGGCATATCCCAGAGCGTGTGCCAAAGTGCTCAGCAATAAAAACTGGGGGAAAGAAGGAGTTAGGAGATCTGTCTTCCCAAACTGGAGTTATGCATGATGAAATAACTGTTCCGACTTCCCTGGAAATGGCCGAACACCTGCCTGCCCGTGCAGTAACAAATTCCTTATTTTGCCTTGCTGGTGCACACAGCTTTTGCTGGATCTACTGAACTATCTTTATCTTGATCCACAGGTTTTCTCTTTTGCCCTTCTGCTTCTCTCCCCCATTGCTCTGGGGGGGAGCAGATGAGGGCTGTGTGGGGCTGAGCTGCTCCCCAGGGTTAACTCACCCACACACGCCAAAGGTTGTGCTGATAACACCCTCTCCATCATCTCCCACATGGCTAAGCAAGGACATATTTCCCCAGGAGCTGATTTCCAAGCAAGGAGAGGGTATTCCCGGTACAAACCACACTCATAGCCCAGAGAAAATTAATTCAAGGCAACACGTGGGTCACAGCAGTACCTGTGCCAAGCTGCAGGACCAGTCAGCATGGCAGAAGATAAGGCAGCTTGAGAGCTTACTTCTCTGCCCAGGACAACTGTCCATGTGGGGAGAAAGAAGCAAAATATGCCAGCTCATCTGTCATCACACTGCCTAGAAATGGTTTGAGGGGTCTGATGAACACCAGAGGTTTCACCTCTGGACAGGTAACACTTCAGGGCTGAGTTGCCCTGAACTTTTCTTACTAGGAAATGGCTTTGCATAAAGTACTGACGTTAGAAGGTAAAGGTAATGAGAGATTTTAATCAGCCCCAGCACAAAAGGAAGGGAATTCCTGCGTAATACCAGAGACTCTAATTTGGGATCTTTTGGGGATCAGGTCTGTTTGCAGGAAGAGGCTGTGGTACAGGTGAAAGGAAATGTGCTGCAACCAGCAAGCACCAAACATCCATATAGTCTTCACAGAATTCCAGCCTGGGACAAGCATCTTTCAAAGCTTCCTTTGCCTCTGTAATGCATGAACATGATCCAGCACCATGGAATAATTCTCATTGCAGGAAAAAATAAGGCAACCCCCCACTTCAAACAAAACAAAAAGTTAGAGAAAGGGAAGGAAGCAGAGACAGGAAACTACAAGGACACTCTTCAGAGAGGCCACTGCTGCAGGATGAAGGGACTGAATTTTATGCATGTGCTGAGGTTCCCTCTAAAACTTATTTTAGGCACCTGAACAAAATTTACCAGCTTTGTGCAAAAGTTTCAACAAGCCCCTGCTGCCAGCAAGGAGCAAGTGCTTGCAGAAAATTAGCTGCCTCCTCAGAGCTGCTTGGGGGAAGCTGGAGTGGGTTGAAACACAGAAGATATCTCCATCTCACTAGAAACAAATAATGAAAATAATGAGGTGTAGAGCAAGGAAATATCTTTTTCAGATTGGACTTTACAGATATAGGTGTGTTACTGTCACCAGAAAGGTGTCAAATCACCTGGATTGGTTTTGATTAAGAAGCTTTGGTCTCTGCCCTGCTCATGGACATGACCCAGGAGCCAAATCCCTTGAGGTGAAATTGGTTCTTACTGCTGCCATTTCTGGGTGACTTGGGCAGTGACACAATTGCTGACATTGCTTTAGTTGCTGTAAATATGGTTTCAGAGAACCTTAGGAGCCCCAGTGAGGTCTGAGATTTGTGGAAGTTCACAGTGGCTCACACCCACCTTTCTTCAATGCTCAGCAGAGCTTTGTGAAAACCTGCATCCTCACCACCTCAGAGCCATGAGGATCACCAGGGTTAGAAAGGAAACAGCCTTACCATGTTCTCTCCTTGCCCCTGCCCAGAATTCCAAGGTTCTAAACTATGGCCCAGGAAAGAGCCATGCAGACAGTTTTTCATCTACGTGGAAAACAAATCAAAAGTCAGTTATTTCTCTCTGCAATGGCCAGATCCGGTGTTTGAGCAAGATGATGACACTAAGCAAGCCAATTTCTTATTTTCTTCTTGCTGCTACTGTCTACTGTGTTAGGGGCTAAAAGCCTTAATTGTGAGCCAAGCTGCTCAGGGCCTTGTGTCACACAAGCACTGAGGCTGACTGTGAGTCATGGGACCAGTTTTGATGGCTCACAATCCATGATCTGCCCCCGGCTGCAGTGTGGTTACACTGATGCAGCTGCTCTGCACAGACCCAATCCCTGGATCTGGGCAGAAACAGGACAGTGATGGGTGCTGTAGCATGGAATGATGGCACCCTTGAGAAGCGCTGCTGTGCTTTGCCAGGGATCATCCCCTGAGCTGGTGGCTCATGACCAGGAGCTCCCTGGCATGCAGATTTTGGTACAGTCAGGGTGGAAATTTTGGCTGTTTCAAACAGCCCAGTTTCCACAGGCCTTGAGGGTAGAAGGGGCTTAATTGAAACAGATCTGTTCAATTCCCAGAGCTGCCACATTTCATTGCCCAGCTGCTCACTTGGATGAGGAAGAAATAGAAAGGAGGCAGTTTCATGGAAAATCATGGTAGGCCACGATCTGCAGAATTAACAAAAAAAGGTCATCTGCTTAACAGGAGCCAGTCCCTTACAATACTGCAAATTTGACCCTGGGGGGAAACTGCTGGAGGAAGGAGTAAAAATTTCAGGGAGACTGTGCTGCTTGACAAAGAATTCATTTGGTGCTAATGGTTCTGCTTCTTGCAACAACATGAACCACGCTCCCAAAAGGCAGTGCATGAGCAGACACGAACAATAAAGTGATTTGTTCTCAGGAAGGATTCAACCTCTGCCAACAGTCAGCCGGATCCAGGCAAGGGCTCGGACAGTCAGACGGGCACACGGCAGCCCAAATGAGGAACTGTATCACTTGGCACACGGCTGCTATTTCCAGCACTTTCATCCCATCCTCACTCCAGCTCGACTTTTTCACTCTTCAGAGGAGAACTAAATCTGGATCTACAAAGGCCAGAATTTTTCCTTGAGATCAGTAGAGGGAGGTGCCCCTGAGCTCCTAAAACCCCTCTGCAGGTGGTCTCATTTTCAAATGACCTCAGCATTTGTAGCTGTCAATTACAGCCTAATATAAAAGACACCTTAAACACCTACAGAATAAACCTTATTGTTTCAGGTATCTGATACTTTTTATTTGTCCTGTTTATTTGCTTATGCAGAAGAATTAGCTCTCAGCATTATTAAAAGAAAAACAAAATGAATGAACACTTTAAAAGTCTTTTAAGATGAAAGCCAGCAAGGCATTCTGAAAACCATTTTTGAAATTAAATGTAGTGCTAGGTCACTCATATGCAGAGTGAACAAAATAACTATCACTCCCCAAATCTGTTGACTTAAAATTATATCAGAACAGCATTTCCCATATTTGAAGAAGAACAAAACAATAAAGTTGTCACCTGGTTTCTTACTGCTTATGTGAAGCATTCTCACTTTCACTGCCATCAATTACTGCCCCAGTTTCTTGGAAACTTGGACCATATGCCAAAAACTGCTGAGAGAACTTGTACTAAAAGGAGGACATGTTCCAGAAAGTTATTAGATGTCCTAGGGTGTGCCACTGAGCCTGTTTGGAGAGCACCAGGTCCTCAAAAAGTGGAAATTTGGATCGTGATGCTGTAACTGAATACAATGTTACTGCAGGGTAGAAAGCAGCCTGGAGTTGGGAGGAAACTTGCTTTGAAATATCAGATCCCAACTCCTGACAAGATGTCAGGCTACAGAATTACTGCTCTGATAACACAGTAGGACAATGTTCTATGTTCTGCACCCAGAAGTTGGTTTCTTTTTCAAGTCCATTAGCAGCAGACTGCCATAGCTTGGCCAGAACAGTCTGGTCTCAGTCTGTTTTGTTTGTCTTGAAACATCTTGCTATTTCTCACCTGTCAGTAAAACTCTCCAGAGTCTCCCTCCTTTCACAATTTCTATGAATAGGTTGGGAAAGTGCAGCCTAGCCCAGAGAAGTCCACATGGCTCAGTCACAGAGGTATTTTGGTACTGGATTCCCAGAGGATCAGTGGAGGTTTGCAAGGCTGTAATTACATAGATCCTCTCTGCTTGCCATGCCCACACACCTCCTCCAGCTCAGGGGCCCAACAGCACAGGAGGTGTCCGGGGTGCCTGGCAGGGCTCACACAATCCTTCCTTAGAGCCAAGCAAGGAGCATCCCCAACTCTCCCACATTTCCTCTCCCTGGAAAGTGCTTGTTCCAATATTCAGTCAGACTGCAAGCAAGTGTAAGGATGGTCCAAACTGCCATGAAGTTCTGTCTCAAAGCTAAATTCAAGCCCCGAGCTAAACAGTAAGTCTGGATATGATTAAACACCTGCAAGGAAGGCAGCGTGTTTGCTTTTCTGCCACCACTACGCCAAGACGTGCATGAACACCACACAGAGCTCTTTATCTCTGCACTGCCATCTCCACCATGGTTTATAAAGATTAATGAAACTTTGTTTAAAGGGACAACTCAAAGCCAAACCAAGCAACCACTGGCCCTCCCCATCACAACAATATTTTCCCTCCAGATAACTTCCTTGTTGCCTTCCCTTACACACTTAAATTGTACAACAAATAACACTTCTGACACCAACCTGGTGTCGTTGGTGGCATCCCACATGCCTGGGCTCTCCTCATGAGAGACCACAAACAATGAGTGGTTCATGCCTGCTTTGCAACACTTCTGAGTAAACAACATTACCTCTGCAGAGGCAGGCCAGGCTGAACTGAAAGGAGCTGTGTTTTCCACTTAGATGGAGATAAAAACTGTTAGGGACAGAATTTGTCAGTAATAAACCACAGTGAAATATAAAGAAATGCACACCAAAAAAATTGCATGACTCCCAAACCAAATATATCAAAAAGAAAAAAAGGGAAAAAAAACCCTTTAGGAGCATTTTTATCTAGACACTGATAGATAATTTTTAGCCACTCATACAGAATGAGCCCTCCATGGAAACTTCAACAGACTTACACAGTATCAAATAACACTCTGCATAAATAAAATGACACTGAATCTACAGTAGTTACATCCAAAAGGTAGCAGCACTTAGGACTTTGGTCCCGGAAAAGCTTTCCTTGCAGATCCGTGTGTCATTTGCAGTAATTTTATTTGCTTTTTGTGAAAGAAATTACAGCCACTCTAAGGGCAATCACACCCCTCCCACTGGGGCAGCAATTTCCACTGCTCCTGTTATGGATTCCCCAGGAAGGTGATGAATCTAGCAGCTGCCCCTTCGTGGCTCACACAAAAGACACCCAACAACTTTTGAGAGTGAGGTGCTGAATTTGCTATGTGTGTGCTACTGACCTCCATTCAGGGACCTTTCCACCCCAAACAGTGGAGTCCTATGAACAAAGGCAGAACTGACATTTTTCATTAGCTTCAGATCTTCTGACTGCCATCACAGCAGCTTATTTGTGAATAAGACACAGGAAAGGAGGACATATTACTTCCTCAGCCTCTCAAATTACTGTTCAGCTGGTAACTTAATTCTAAGCACATCCACAGTTTCTCCCAGGTATTTGGAAAATTAAGATTCTCATGCATTAATACAAAAATAGTCTTGGATTTTGAACTCCATACTCACACAGCTAAGAGAACATGGGAAACCATGCACGTGGAGCTCTGCATTGCAGCAGGCTTGCACATTACAAACACACACACTTCCTTTGTTTGTTCCTTTCAGTCCAACTCAGCAAGATGCATTTTGGTTTTCATGAATCTTGATCTGCTGGAGCAGTTGCCACAACTACCAACCACCTTTGGGTGTCTGGCAATGGGTGGTGAAGTTTTTACCTCAGCTCATAAATAAAATCAGAGAGGTTTTGGAGTTGTTATTCCCCCCCCCCCCCAAAAAATTTTGTCTGCTCTCAACACTTTTCAAAAGGCGCTCCCCATCTTACAGCACCAGATCTAGCATGAACATAGCATAGATCCAACACAAAACTCAGCACTCTGTAAGATAAATAAAACTCGGCTACGGGAGCATTCTGTGTTATTCATGTATGCAAATGAACTGCTCAGCACATCAGTGTTAACTTGGCTGTTGATGTTATGTGCTGGAAAAAAAACAGAATTTCAGAGGAAATTCTGCCTACCTTGTTGGGGCAGGAGGTGAACTTTTATGGCTGTTTTCCATTACTGCCTTTTTGAGAACCAGAGGATATTTTCCCATCAGTTGTGTTTATCAGCTCTCAGAGGAGGCAGATGAATCTAAGCACAAGCCAGAGATTTTCTGTGACTTCTTTGTCTGGTGTGGGGATCTGTGTGACAGAGGCTATCAAGTGGCTACAATCACTTCATGTCCTGTGTAGTTTGGGAGCTAAAGCAACACCAGTACTCTGCCTGCTTAGGTAGTGTTAGGTTAGGTGTTAGGTTGGTGTTACTGAGTAGTAAATTCTATCTTCCACATGAATAGACTGGATTTTAAGCTACAGGAGGTCTTCTACAAAACACCTCCATTCCAATTTAAAGTCCATCCAAAGGGGTTTCCTGAACTTGTGTGTGAGAGCCCTTTCTGCCAACATTTGACACAGCATCGCTGATCCCAGTGGCTCTGAGGCAATGACATCCGTGACCTTGGCTCTTCAGTTGCCACCACAGAGCAACAGGCCCAATTCAACGCCTTGTCAGAAGCAAAAAGCTTTCTTCTGGCTCTGTGGAAATGGCTTTACAACACTTTAGGGGAAGGCAGTATCACTATAGCAGCTGCTCCACCTTTCAGGTTGTGTTTCAATTGTTTGCTTCTCAAGGTGAAACTCCAAAACCAAAGCCCTACCTTCTCCGTTTTCGTACTCATTAGGACATTTGTTTCTGAACTCTGACTATGGCAAATACACTGTCTGCTTTTTGTACATCACTGCCTCAGTAGCAGCCAAGTTCCAATGTAAACTGCATTTATGTGTCCTAACAGCTGTCACATGAGGGGGTGTTGCTGAAAAGCCAACCCCCATTGAAGACTTTGGTGTTTCCTGGTCACTGTTACCATTGAGAGAAAGAATAACAAACAGCACTAGCTTTGTAATTCACTGGCAGAATGAAATGCTGCTTTTTTATTTAGTGGAAGGATTCCTGACCTCTCTTGTCTAGCCAGCACTTCGTATGCACCAAAGACCAACACAAATTCCATAAAGACATACACAGTCATTGCTCTGAAGTGAAGAACATAAAAAAAGTAACAAAGACTAAAGAAGATGGAGCAGTTACATGTAAAGAGAAAGTTGCTTCTGATCTGTTCACATTCTCATGGTTTCTTCTATGAATGAAGAAGCAAAGCTCTTCATTCCAGGGGAAAAAAATAGATTTTTCATTCCACAAATGTTAAACAGTAGAATTATGAAAAAAAAAAAGCAAAAAGAAGGAATAGGAGCAATTGCTGCTGAGAAAGACCTCAGAGATGAGCATGGATGCTGCACTGGACACTGTAACAGCATTTTTCATCTACTACAGGTCAACCAGAAGTTGATAAAATAGGTATTTTCCTCTTCAGGGTCTGGAGGCCATGCAGATCTTGCCCCACAGAGGACTGCTCTGGGCAGGAAGGCTCTGCACGTGTGGCAGACACTGCCCCTCTTCACGCAGATCCTTTGAACACAGATACCTCCCAATCCGGCCAGACAGGCAAAGTTTTACAAAAAGCAATTGGCAGGCTGCTTCAGCAAGCAATACATAAAGAATACAGTTGCTTGGTAAGACTCCTGGGCTGAGCCTACATTCTGTTTCCAAAGGCCATTTCCTCTGACACAGAAGGCAAGGAGTTTATTCTCAAAGAGTTTCTTCTCAATGTCACTTTAGAGTAAACTATCAGAAAATATCCATCTCCCATGTCAGTCCTGGGCTGCTGCTGAGACCTCGAATTCTAATAACAAGGCCCTTGTCTTAGCCAGCTCTAGAGACCACAGACACATCCCATCAGATAATCCTGAATCCCTGTGCAAGGCCTGCAGTGTCAACAACCTCACTCTCCTCTGTAGGTCACCAGTAAAGCTCATTACAGGAAGCTGGCTCTGTCCTTCGACAATGTGACAGGTGATTCTCGAGGAAAGGAACTGTTCTCACTTCCTGTAGGACTGGCTGCCTGCAGAAAAACATAAAGAAAGAGTCTGTCAGCTGAAAGCAGGATTTATTACAAGACAGAAGCTGCCTGAGGGTGACACTTGTTCAACTTGTACAGGGACACAAACATCACAAAAAACATGCAGAAAGGCACTTTAACTCATGATGCTGCCATTTAAAACTGCAGAATGTATTTCTGGCAACCCCTTTTCAGGGGATATTTAAAGAACTGAAAGGGCATCACCAGGGCCCAGTTGCACTCTGGACAAAAATCATTCCCCATTCCTCTGGTAGAGATTTTTGTACTGCCCTAGCTCCAATGTGCCTTAGACATAACTTGGTGCACTGCAAACAGCTTCAGCACGTCCATGCAGAGTTGCCTGGAACAGACAGAGAATAAGGATCAGAGTGGATTAAACCACACAACCATGTCTACATGGAATACAGTTGAAAAGGTCTAAATCTGGAGGTGCCTATGCTCCCCGTGGAACCCTGTCTTCTAGCCATGCTGCCAGTGTCATCCCTGTGCCAGCCTGGAAATGGAAATCACAGAGGATTGATTCCAGCATGGCTGGTTTTATTTGGAGGAGCTTGCTTTTGCTCTAGAGTTCAGCTAACAGCAGGGGCTGCATGTTGGGCAGGAATCTGGCCCCAGGCCTGGAGCTGCACTAAGTACCTGGGCTTCCTCTGCATTCCTCAGGCATTCCACACACTCCATGCTCCAAGAGGAGTGGTCCAGCTAGTTCAGGTAGGTTTACACAAATCAACTTGTTTCCAGAAAATACACCTGCAATAAATACTAAAATAAAGCTAAAAATGTGCCTCTAAAATTAGAGAATGCATCAAGTAAAATCAGAAAGTCATCTTTTTCTCATCATGTCCATCAGCTGTACAAACTTGCCTTTCTCCAGAAATACCAAAACTGGAACAGAGTCTCTTGATATGTAAAACCCTACATATCTATGCAGCAGGCAAATGGGAGGCAGCAACTGCTGGAATCTACTGATTGCTGTTATCTGTGCATCTGATACCATTTTTGACCTGCAGATGAGTCAGCTACAAAGTTAAAGGAGCAGTAAGGACAGAGCTTTACTAGGGAAACATTAGGGGCTCACCTGCTTCAGACCCCTTCCTTGCATCTTTAAGTAACAGCTGAGAATTACTTTTGAGAACCCTAAGTTCCAGTGTAGGTGCTTAAAACCCTTTTTAGTCCTTTAAAAACCTGGTCCTTACAACCTTCATGTAACTCTTCCCACCTATAAACACCTGTGTAAAAGCCCCTGCAGGATGGACAAGAACTAATAGATGCTCTGTGACAGCAGATGACAAGGCTGGATACATGTACAGAGAGTGAGTGGAAGATTAGTTGTTTGCAAAATAATTTGTTTGCTAGTTTTAGCAGGGAGAGTTTAACATTCAGTTGCTGATACTTTCTCGTGGCACATGTGGACAGATAGAAAATGAAAACCTGGAATCTCAGGTGAAAAATTGGAAGAAAAGTTAAAATGGACACACAGCAAGTTGGGATGTCTATTATACATTCAGCATACATTCCCAGCCAAGAGAAAAGGTATAGTGTAAAACAAATAAAACAATACAATTTAGAAGAGCTCAGGTATCTGGACTTGACAGATCACATATACTCAATCCACAGAGAAACACAAGTGATCTACTTTAAAGCAATTTAAAAATAAAATACATTTAACACTGTGCCACTGGAAAAGGATCTTGCTCCAGAGCCTCTTGAAAGCAACACTGGTATGGCACATCTTTCCTAGGATGCTCTCCCCAGGAGTGTAAAGCTGCCCTGGAGAAACTAGAACATGCAGAAGTTTTTTTGTGTACACACACAAACACACACACACACACACTCTGTGCTTTTCCTCTCTTCACTAGGGCTTCTTTTCAATGGGCCAGTGCTTTTGGAAATGAACCGAAACAGGAACCAGGGGCAGACTCTTGGGTGTTAACACCACATCCAGTCAGGGCAGAACAGTGCTGCTGTGGCAGGAAACAAGAGAGCACTGATGTCAGAGGTAAAACTCGGGCCACATCCAGCAAAGGTAAAGCTGAAAGAGCTGTGTTACCTCAGCACAGGAGTGTTGAAGCAAGAAGCCTCCAGGTCAAAACCTCCTTTCACCACCAAGAACATTCCCTTCCAATGCCTCACCTGTACTCCCTGAACAAAATCACACCACTTCTCTGTACATGCAACTGTGTGGAACAATGAATGAGCAACACAGAATTCAGAATGCTCTTTCCAGCTCTGTTACTGATTTACTGGGTTATTTAAATTCTTTTCATTTCACTTTCCCTATCTGTAATGAGTAGCTAATGATACACACACATTTTGAGTTTCTTGGGAAGGTATTGACTTACTATGCTTTTGTCAAATGTTTCAAGGTAACGGTTACAGCTAAAGAATAGAGCTGATGTTACATTGTGATCAAATAATCATCACTAAACTTGTTATGATGCATCTGCTCCTGCCATTTTCACTGATGATGGACACAGAGCTGTTTTGAATCCAGCTTTTCCTATCCACATGCCTGGGAAAAATTCATTACTGAAGAATGCACCTTTCTTTCCCCTCCACCCCAAAAAACTCCACAGCTGACATGCCACATGTGGAGCATCCAAGATCAGTTTTTCCTTTGTATTAAGCTTGCGTTGCCTGGCTCAAAGCAAGTGTCCATCATTTTCCTCCATCCTCAAGTCAAAGCCACCCTCTCTTCTGAACCCCCCCCTGACATGAAGCTCTTTTTATAAACTTTTGCAGGCCACAGCATGGCCACGTGGTTCTTGAGTACCAGTCTCCAGCAGAAAGGAGACTGCCATAAGCAGCACACTGTGCCTGGCTCTCTGCTTACCAAGCTGCCCTGAGCCATCTCCTGAGCTGCCTGACATCTGCTCTACATTCAGCTGCACTGTAGACACACCCAGGGATCCGACTTCAAGTTACACAGTGGGATGAACAAGTGTCTAAAGAAAAGGAAAAACTCTGATGACATCTAGAGAAGTTCTATTCTGAGACTAATAAGCTTCCCCAAAAACTCCTAAGAATTTGGGCCACTTTTCTCCACCCAAGACAGGAAAAAGCATGTCTTTTAGCTGCTCACATGACAGTCTGGAAATAGGAGCAGTGTTCAGCAGGATATAATTACATGGTTGTACATCCTGCAGATGACAAGTACAATGTCATACACTCCTGGCACATTTGTAGCCTACGACTTCATTCCTGAAGAGTTTCTACAATGCTCCCTCCTTTCCCACCCCAAGGAATGACAAACAGAACCATGACATTTTCCACTTACTCTGTCTACTCCTTGTGGATGATGCTGATGATCTTGGATGGCTTGTTTGTTGGGGTCCAGACTGGGAGAACTGGGGGGCAATGGCTGGGACCTTTCCCTTTCTAGGGCTGGTGCTCTGCCCGTCAGGAGTGCGAGGGATCTTGGGTTTGCTGGTGAAGGCTAAAGCAAACTCCCTGGAGGAGGAGAGGGAAAGGGTTAGCAATGCAAGGAGAAATATGTATGCATAGCAAGTCTGCAACCAAGTGAAACCTGCAGTATGTGCTGTGACAGCCCAGCAGGTGCTCAGACCTCAGGGAGACTGCAAATGGAAAGGAACATGGCACCTCAGGTACTGTGCATATGCTCACTGCACAGCCTCTAACCTGGCCCTATTGACCTGTCCATCCTACTCAAACCCCACTCTTCCCACAACAGGAGTGAAGAGGTTCAGTTAAATTCCCTGCAAACCAGGAACCAATCTTTAGTTTGTTTTCTGTTTTGTTTATCACATCCAGTGACTCATTCTGGGGTGCAAAAAATACAGAGATTTGCTACAGCACAGGAACACATCCTTTTAGGGCACAGACACCACAATTTCTTCCAGGTATAGGTCAATCTTGGCAGACATAGGCAGCTTCCCTGGCTCCTGTCTGAGATAATATTTGTAGAACTCCCTGAAGGCTTTGTCAAAAGAGCAAAGAGCTGTGATGGTATCTATAAAAAAAATTCCCTAAACATAGAGTTCCTTATTCACACTGAGAACGTAAACCAGGTGCTGCTATTTCACAGTCTGCATGTGCTGCAAAAACACCATTCTTTAAAATTTAGTCAATTACTGTGTGAGGATACAGTGTCCTTTCTTGCCCCCAGCATAAATATAGTTTTTCCCCAATTACAAAAATGGAGGCTACCAGGAACTAGCAAGTCTCTAAAATAATTCTGAATTTAAATTAGTGTTTACACTAGTGAGTCGATTTTCTCTTAAAAGAGAAAAGGTAAACAGTAAAAGCAGAAGTAAAGTAACAGCTACATGAAAACTTAATCATATTAAAAACGGGAAATAAGACAGCCAAAAGCAGGACATCGAAAAAAATAGGTGCCATCTAAAAATCGGCGATTAAAATAGAAAGTCCCCGTTATTACCTCCATGAAAAGAACCCTTTGTGACCATCAGAAGGGTGATTAGGAGGATTTTCAAGATACTTAATCTCCCTCCTCCCCTGGGAATGCTGCTGAGTCAGTGCTGATTAGCCCTTCCATAGCTCTGCTTTACTTTCCAGGGAGATTTGAGCAAGTGGCCTTTCGTATTTTAAATAGCATTATTGTCTGCATTTTACATAGGTATATGTTAACTATTAAGGGCAGAGAAGTGCCAACTGCTAACAGCAGAGAAGTGCTAACTGCTCTGCTAAGAACCATCTCTGCAGCCTTCCACCTATGAGTATTACAAGTGTTAACACTTGTCTGAGCTTCAAAGGAGCATGTGGCAGATAGCAGCAGAAAAAGACTAGTAAATATAAAAAATAAGACTGGCTGGATAAAACCTCAAGGCATGGACCACAGAGATATTTAAGAATTTTTATCTCCATATAGCAGTGTCATTGTTATTGCTTTTTTTGTCACTTAACTCACTTTGGTAAAGTGGGTTAGTTCAAATTAATTGGGTTTTCAATTCACTAGTGCTCTTCGTAATGTTATGTTTACTATGATGTTCTTAGGTAAATTAAAAAGAAAGATTCACCAGCCTCAAGGCAGTTTTTGAGCCACAAATGAGGGTTTTTTAATTCCTTATTCAACAACAGATAACAAACCCCTGGATTTGCATTCCCATACACTAAAAAAGAGCTTTTATAGACATTAAACCATCTCCAGTTTCAGGGCATTAACCTCAGCAGCCAGACTAGTGACAGAGCAAAGCAATGCAACCACAGTCACATCACTTTACCAAGGAAAGAGATACACAGTTCTCACACAAAACGGTTCACATCTGTGCCAGCTCTTCAGGAAAGGATTACATGAAATAGGCTGGTAGCAAAAACTATAAAGTTGTAAACACCCTCTTGTTTTTCTCAGAGGATGCAGAGCAGATCTGGCTCCCCATGTGTTCAAGTACCACAGAACCACTTCATCTTTTCAGGTTAAGATCAACAGAAAATAACTAATCCTCAGGATAATACCTACAGCTCCTTTTTGTTATTCTTTAAAAGCTGATCAGCTGAAGAAAGAACAAGCAAAATCTACTGTGGGCAACGTTCTTCAGCATTTGGTAAAGGAGTCACTGATGAAAAGGTGTGCTCAAAGAAAAAACAAAACAAAAACCCAACCAAATAAAAATACCCAAACCTACAGCAAACTCACACAAAAACTTGCATTTGCACTGAGAAAGAAAACTGTTTACTTGTAAAAACTGAAATAATTGTCTATAACTGAAATATTTGTCTACTTTTTTATAAAGTGCACAACAGACTGACACTGGGATTCAAATAATCAACCAGGAAATAAGACAGGACTTGAACATAGAAAGATTAATTAAACCATTTTCTCCAAGAATACACTGGGACTTTTGGCCATTTTTAGCAGATTATCAGAAAAGCAAGGCTAATAGAGATATAAGAATGTCCTGCAGAGTTTAAGATCTTTTTTATCATGATGATACTGGACCAAGTCACAATACAAAAAAAACCCTTTTTCAGTCAGCCACAATTATAGACTGAAGTCTGTTACAAATTCATCCTTAATTGGCTAAAAAGCACAACAGAGCTATATTCTCACATGATCAAATGCAACAGGGAATATTAATGCAAGACCAACTGCTAGTTTGACCTGCATCAGCTGGAACAATCATTTGGTCCCCTGGAAATAAAACAACTGCAGCAGAACAGTCACTACTAAGGTCTCATTCTCCTCTCCAATTGATTTTGCATCATTTCACTCATCTCTGTGCAGTTAAGTTCCCCATTTATACTTCTAAGGAAGAGGGGAAAGAGAAGTGACTACTTCTACAACCCAGCTCAGCCCTCCTCTTCTCATACATACCTCTTCTAGGAAGGTCTTGGTATCTGCCTAAAAGGTATTTGCCTCCAGGAAGGAGACATTTCTTAGAGTGGACAAAACTATGAGCAAAGCAGAGATTTATTAGTCCTGTTTGTTTTGCAAACAAATTATAGCCTGCATCCAGAAGTGAAAGAATGAAAAGGCAGGTCTAGCTATTGCAACACCAACATATTAACAAAAGACTCTTGACACAGAAAACCCTGTGCTCTCTTTGACTATGAATGGCTGCATTCCTTTATCTGTAACTCGAGGCTTCATTTGGAAATCCAAATTACTGTATGCATGCTGAGGAAACACACAGTGAAAAGATATGATCTTCCTCTGCAGCACACTGCACCTGTGCCTTCACTTCTATAAAATCCATCCTGAGATTTAGACATACATTGTGAACAAATATTAAAAATGTCTGGGAACACACCTTTTCTATAACACGTTGTGTAGAAAAGCAAAGCGTCTCACTAAGGTGGGGGACAAGATGCTGCCAATTTGATTTGCTTCCTGGAAGCCAAGGCTGAAAAATAATATCCCTCTCTCCACCACAAAGCAAACAAATCTGCCATAATGTTTTATTGTCTATTTGTATTTCTATTATGTGCTTAGCTACTGTGATAATGGACAACAGAAATTAAACCAGTAATAATTCATATAATTTATCAGATATCACCATGGAAACAGCAGAACTGTTTGGTTGGGAAAAATCCCAAAACCAACGGCACACCAACCCCACAAAAAACCCAAAATCACACACTGGCATCTGTAGGCCTGAAGGAAACAAAGTTGTAGACACAGAATCTTTCAGAAGTACTAGAGCTGTAATTGACACAAATAACCAAGCACTTCTGAAAAACCAAGTACTTAAAGAGTTGGTAAAACCTTCCCTTTAATGCATCTCCACCCATTCTGTGTTTTAGTTCTGGAACATATTTGCTTTTAAAATTTGTCTACACTGTTTTAAACTTGGCCCAATCTAATTAGCTGTAGGAAAAAGCTGTTAATGTCTGAAGGACACGTGCAGGCCCTGAAAACTTTGGTCCAATTGCTAATTAATTCCTAGTTCTCATCCAAGATATAAATTCACAGTTGTACACATGACAAAGGCTTCACAGAGGGCTCAGGGTGAACATGATAAGCAGGATAAGGAGAGAACAACCTTTAATTTTACAAGAATAATTTAGAGGAAGAGTTGATCCCATTGCTCTGTGATCTCATAACTTTGCCTCTTTTGCCATACCCATCTAGTGCATAAATGAGGGACTCTGGTCAGCTTAAAAACTCTTAATCCACTTAAATGCTTTATTTTTCTTCCTTCTGCATTCCTGTCCTGTTCCTGCAGTCCTACCTATTTATTTACTAATAAATGATTTTCAGAGGCAAGTGTTGAGTCATCTAAGGAAGCAATCATGAAGTTTTCTTTTCAGAAGGCCATGTTGAGCATACATGTGAAGTTCATTAATAATGTCTTGCTTGAAACTTCTCCCATTCTGAACCAGATGCTTAGAAATTGAACAGCTGCCTCTGGCCCAGCAAAGGGTATTTTGTTTGGCAAGCACCACCACAGCTGTCTCAGGCCAGACTGTATCATACATCAAATGACTTCACAGATTGTCTTTA